CGTGTCCAACTCTTCATGATGCTATGGGCTGCAGCCCGCCAGGCTTTTCTATCCTGCAGGCTGCTAGGGGGTGGGGAGGAGGATGGAAAGCAGGCTGGGGGCGCGGGCCCAGGATCCCCAGTTGCTAAGAGGGCTCTTTGTAATTAACTAGGCGACATGTGTACCGGGCACCCACAACAGGCTGAGGGTGTCCTCAGCAGGACCATGCAGCCTCCGTGAGAGAAAACAACAGCTATGAGGAAACATGACACCCTTGGTGCATTTCTGGAGGGATTAGGGGACTCATGTTTCCACAAAATAACAGATCTCAAAGGTGCTGCTGATCTCTGCAATTTTGCAGCAGCTGAGAATCTGGGATCTGACACTAAAGGGAAAGAAAACTGTCCAGAGAACCAGAGACCTTGACATTCTGCACTCGTGAATTTGAGAGAAACCATCTTTAAGATTTCTTCCATCTTTAAGATTTCTTCTGAGTTTTGTATTTTCCCTCTTTCTATTTTTAATGGAGCCATTTTATTGACCTTTAGTGCACATACCATACAGTTGACCTATTTAAAGTGTACAAATCTGGTTTTTAGTTTATTCGTGGAGTTGTGCACCTATCACCATGATCACCTTTAGAACACGTCCATCACTGGTAAAGAATCCGTCTGCCAATGCAGAAGACTTAAGAGACGTGGGTTTGATCCCTGGGTTGGGAAGATCCCCTGGAGAAATAAATGGCAACCCACTCCAGTATTCTTGCCTGGAGAATTCCATGGAGAGAAGAGCCTGGCAGGCTACAGTCCATGGGGTTGCAAAGAGTCGGACACAACTGAACACACACACACATCACCTCAAAGAAACCCTGTACCCAGGAGCAGTGACTCACTCCTCATTCTCACCTCCCTCTGCCCCTGAACCATGAGTCCACCTTCTGTCTCCAACAACCTGCCTGTTCTGGACATTCCACACAAATGGACTTCATACGCTATGTGGCTTTTTGTTAGGCTTGTATCATTTAACAAGTTTTCAAGGCTGTAACATGGGTCAGTGCTTCATTCTGCTTTTGACCAAATAAGATCCCACCGTGTGGACAGGCCACATGTGTTCATCCACTCATCCTTTGATGGACATTGGGTTGCTGCACTGTTTGGCTGTTGTGAACAGTGCTGTTATGAATGTTCCTGTACAAGTATTTGTGGAAATGTGTGTTTTTAACTCTCTTGGCTGTATACCTAGGCGAAGGCCTCCTTTCCCAAGAGAAATGTGTAGAACCATTTTACAAGAGTTATTGAGTTGGAACTTTTGATTCATCATGCTTAATTAATCTCAGTACTTAGTAGCTTTATTAAACATTTATTCATTGGAAGCATTGATGCTGAAGCTCCAATACTTTGGCCACCTGATGTGAAGAGCTGACTCGCTGGAGAAGACCCTGATGCTGGGAAAGACTGAAGGCAGGAGAAGGGGGTGGCAGAGGATGAGATGGTTGGATGGCATCACCAACTCAAAGAACATGAATGTGAGCAAACTCCAGGAGATAGCGAAGGACAAGAAAGCCTGACATGCTGCAATCCACAGGGTCACAGAGAGCTGGACATGCCTTAGTAACTGAGAGACAACAACAACCTTAATGGAGTTGAGCAGTGAGGCCTGTGTGACAAAGTTTTCACTCTCATCCAGTTCTTGAACATGAGTCTGATTTAAACTTGAACACAGATAGTTGTTGTTCAGTCGCTTAGTCATGTTCGACTCCTTGCGACCCCACAGACTGCAGCTTCCCTGTTCTTTCCTGTTCTTCACCATCTCCTGGAGTTTGTTCAAACTCATGTCCATTGAATCAGTGATACCATCCAAACATGTTGTCCTCTGTTGTCCCCTTCTCCTCCTGCCCTCAATCTTTTTCAGCATCAGGGTCTTTTCCAATGAGCTGGCTCTTCGCATCAGGTGGACAAAGTATGGGGGGCTTCAGCTTCAGCATCAGTCCTTCCAATAAATATTCAGGACTGATTTCCTTTAGGATTGACTGGTTTGATCTCTTTTGCAGTCCAAGGGGTTCTCAAGAGTCTTCTCCAATACTACAGTTCGAAAGCATCAATTCTTCAGCACTTAGCCTTCTTTATGGTCCAACTCTCACATCCGTACACGACTACTGGAAAAACCATAGCTTTGACTCCATGGACCTTTGTTGGCAAAATGATGTCTCTGCTTTTTAAATTGCCGTCTAGGTTTGTCATAGCTTTTCTTCCAAAGAGCAAGCATCTTTTAATTTTGTGGCTGCAGTCACTGTCCGCAGTGATTTGGGGCCCAAGAAAATAAAACCTGTCACTGTTTCCATTGTTTCCCTGTTTTTTTCCTCTTTTGTTGGCAAAATGATGTCTCTGCTTTTTAACATGCCGTCTAGGTTTGTCATAGCTTTTCTTCCAAAGAGCAAGCATCTTTTAATATTGTGGCTGCAGTCACTGTCCGCAGTGATTTGGGGGCCAAGAAAATAAAACCTGTCACTGTTTCCATTGTTTCCCTGTTTTTTTCCTCTTTTATTGGCCACACCTTGCAGCACATGGGATTTTAGTTCCCCCACCAGGGATCGTACCTGCATCCCCTGCAGTGGAAGCATGGAGTCTTAACCACTGAACCACCAGGGAAGTCCCATAAACATTTTAAATTTTGATCAAGTCCAATGTGTTTATTTTTTCTTTTGTTGCTTGAGTTTCTGGTGTCACATTCAAATCACTGTCAAATCCAAAGTCATGAAGACGTATGCCTATATTTTCTTCTAAGCATTTGATGGTTTTAACTCTTAGATTTAGGCTATTGGTCCATTTTGCATTAACTTCTGTGTGTGGTGTGAGGTTATGCATATTGTAGGATTAGTTCAACCTAGGTTATTTCTCAAATTCACATGAATTTTTGCTGGAAAATGACATATTTCAATACTATAACAAGTACTTACTAAGTCACATTAAAAATTTTTGTCCTGCTCTCTCTCCCACGGAGAAGGAAATGGCAACCCACTCCAGTATTCTTGTGTGGAAAATCCCATGGATGGAGGAGCTTGGCAGGCTACAGTCCATGGGATCGCAAAGAGTCGAACATGACTGAACGACTTTCACATTCATTCTCCCACAAATGAACTCTCAAGAATCTTGCATGGAATGTTCACTGTGATAATGGTCTGTCAAAGATATTGTAAAACAAGGATGACCTTCTCCCTCAAAATTTGTCATCATAGCCAAAGTATTTCCTGAGGGCCAACAATCAACCAAGCATTCACCAAATATTTACTGAGTTCCATTTCTGTGCCAGGTTCTGTGTCGGGGGCTGAGAGACTGTGGTGAGTGTGGAGGTGGCCCTGTGGAGTGTGGAGTTTCAAGGGGCTTGAAACTATGTGGATTATATCCCCAGGACCCAGCAAAGAGCTGAGGAAAGCGACCACCAGAATGAGCCACGACTCCTGGTCCCAAGAAGCTAACACAAAGTGACTCATACACCGAATAACTAGGTGACAATGAAGGGAGTAATACTGGGTATAATACAGCGACGGAAGCTAAAGCCACAGGGAAGTGAAAGCTGCAGAGTTCAGGAAGGGGAGAGATTATCCATTTCAGAGCAGACTGGAGAGGTCTCCAAAGGAGGTGGAATTAAACTCAAAGAACTTGAGTCGAGTCGTTGCTTTCATCTGATGCAGATGTGCTCTCACCTGCGCCCTGTCTTCGCGCCACGTCACTCTAGTCGGCTGCTGCCCACTGCCCACCTGCAGGATGGCCCATAAGCAGATCTACTACTCGGACAAGTACTTCAGTGAACACTACGAATACCGACATGTCATGTTACCCAGAGAACTTTCCAAACAAGTACCCAAACAAGTACCCAAACAAGTACCCATCTGATGTCTGAAGAGGAGTGGAGGAGACTTGGTGTCCAACAGAGTCTAGGCTGGGTTCATTACATGATTCATGAACCAGAACCACACATCCTTCTCTTTAGACGGCCTCTTCCAAAAGATCAACAAAAATGAAGCTTATCTGGGGATCATCAATTAAATCTTTCTCAAATTTAATGTATATGTTAGCATTTGATGGTTTTAACTCTTAGATTTAGGCTATTGGTCCATTTTGCATTAACTTCTGTGTGTGGTGTGAGGTTATGCATATTGTAGGATTAGTTCAACCTAGGTTATTTCTCAAATTCACATGAATTTTTGTTGGAAAATGACATATTTCAATACTATAACAAGTCCTTACTAAGTCACATTAAAAATTTTTGTCCTGCTCTCTCTCCCACAGAGAAGGAAATGGCAACCCACTCCAGTATTCTTGTGTGGAAAATCCCATGGATGGAGGAGCTTGGCAGGCTACAGTCCATGGGATCACAAAGAGTCGAACATGACTGAACGACTTTCACATTCATTCTCCCACAAATGAACTCTCAAGAATCTTGCATGGAATGTTCACTGTGATAATGGTCTGTCAAAGATATTGTAAAACAAGGATGACCTTCTCCCTCAAAATTTGTCATCATAGCCAAAGTATTTCCTGAGGGCCAACAATCAACCAAGCATTCACCAAATATTTACTGAGTTCCATTTCTGTGCCAGGTTCTGTGTCGGGGGCTGGGAGACTGTGGTGAGTGTGGAGGTGGCCCTGTGGAGTGTGGAGTTTCAAGGGGCTTGAAACTATGTGGATTATATCCCCAGGACCCAGCAAAGAGCTGAGGAAAGCGACCACCAGAATGAGCCACGACTCCTGGTCCCAAGAAGCTAACACAAAGTGACTCATACACCGAATAACTAGGTGACAATGAAGGGAGTAATACTGGGTATAATACAGCGACGGAAGCTAAAGCCACAGGGAAGTGAAAGCTGCAGAGTTCAGGAAGGGGAGAGATTATCCATTTCAGAGCAGACTGGAGAGGTCTCCAAAGGAGGTGGAATTAAACTCAAAGAACTTGAGTCGAGTCGTTGCTTTCATCTGATGCAGATGTGCTCTCACCTGCGCCCTGTCTTCGCGCCACGTCACTCTAGTCGGCTGCTGCCCACTGCCCACCTGCAGGATGGCCCATAAGCAGATCTACTACTCGGACAAGTACTTCAGTGAACACTACGAATACCGACATGTCATGTTACCCAGAGAACTTTCCAAACAAGTACCCAAACAAGTACCCAAACAAGTACCCATCTGATGTCTGAAGAGGAGTGGAGGAGACTTGGTGTCCAACAGAGTCTAGGCTGGGTTCATTACATGATTCATGAACCAGAACCACACATCCTTCTCTTTAGACGGCCTCTTCCAAAAGATCAACAAAAATGAAGCTTATCTGGGGATCATCAATTAAATCTTTCTCAAATTTAATGTATATGTATATATAAGGTAGTATTCAGTGAATACTTGAAAAATGTACGAATTGTTCATCCATACCTGTGCACGACCTGTATTCTTCACAGCAACAGAGCTCAGTTAAATGCAACTGCAAGTAGGTTACTGTAAGGTGTTTCAAGATAAAAATTTCTTCTAGTCAGTTTTTCTTTTAATATAAGTGCCTGTTTGACTTTATCTGTTACTTTCGTTAAATAAAGTTTGTATGTAGGATTTATTACTCTTTGAAGTTAGTGAGGTTTGTTTTCTTAAGGTTAACTTCTGACTGTTGAGGATGTTGGATGATTTCAGTTTTATAGTCCTGAGGAAATAAAATCACTTCAAAGGAAGAAAAAAAAACTCAAAGAACTTGTAGGACCTGAGCGATGAAGGTGGTAACAGTTAGGAGCATAGAACAGGGTGGCTTCACTGACTGGGTGGGAGACACAAAACCAGGGAGCCACCAAGTCTTGGTGACACCTGCAAGCTAACCTGGCTGCTCTCTAACGATGACGTCTTATCTAAGTGGGTCATATGCTCTATACATGCGTCCTTGTATCTCCATCACCCCCCACAAGAAAACCTAGTTGCTGATTTCCTGGCATGGGGGAGGGGGATACTACATGAGGGAGGGGATAGTACATGGGGGAGGGGTATTACATGGGGGAGGGAATACTACTTGGGGGAGGGGATACAATACGGGGGTAGCATCTTATTTAGATTGTGTGGTGTTGGTTATAGGCTTCTGATTTCTCTCTCTTTTTTTTTTTTTTGAAAGCTGTTAAAATGTTTTACCAAGAAAAACACCCAGGAGAGAAATCAGCTCATTTGTTTCAAACAAACAAGCGTGATCTCTTGATAATCAGCCTTCTGCTGGGAAGGCGCTTCGGGTCCCTCGGCTCCTCTGGGACCCCCTACCGCCTGGGTGCCTACAGCTCTGCTATGGCTACAGAAAAACACCTTGCTGGCCCTGTTCGGGTGGCTGGCAATGAAGCCACCACATACGGGATGCGAAAATAACTGTGGCCAGCAGACCTCTCAGAGCCTCACTCTCCTGGAAACCCTTGTTAGGGTCCCAGGAATGGCTACTGCGTCCAACCAGCCTCTGACCCTGAGCTGCCCTTCCCAGCACTNGCTGGCAATGAAGCCACCACATACGGGATGCGAAAATAACTGTGGCCAGCAGACCTCTCAGAGCCTCACTCTCCTGGAAACCCTTGTTAGGGTCCCAGGAATGGCTACTGCGTCCAACCAGCCTCTGACCCTGAGCTGCCCTTCCCAGCACTAAAGGGACACAGCACCCTTCCCCTAAGGGCACCTTGCTCTGTGCAGCCTGAGTGGTCCTTCCCTTCCTTTGACGAAGCACTGAAACAGTTTTGATAGAAAAACCAACAGGCTGTAAACCACAGAGTTGGACATGATAATAAATGCCCAGGGGTCTCACAGATCAAGGTCAAACAGGCTCACCCACCCTCACATGCCCCCCACCCCAAGTGGAGTTGAGGATTCACCCCCTCAGGCACCCCCTGCCCCACGCAGAGTGAGGATTCACCCAGAGACAGGAATCCTGAAGCATCTGCACCAGGACGTAGAGAATCCAACTGGTAAACATCCCCCTCCAGGGACTCAGTAATGTTACAGCGGGAATCAGAGCCATGACAACTGTCCTGGAGGCCTCTCCTGTTCCAGGCAGGGGGGTGAGGGCCCAGGGTGAGGCCCCCCCCAATCTCACACAACACTCAGTGATTCTAGTCATGCCATTAGAAACCATTCCCCACTTTAATTTTTTGACCTTGAATACATGTGGTATCTCACTATATTTTAGAAAAGAACACCTTTCCTGGGCCCTTTTCCATCTCTAGCAAACTGAAACTTTGAATTTGTTTTCCTAGAATTTTCTTCTCATGTTCGCATCAGTGACCTGAGTCCTTCTATCTTTCTTACTTATTTTCTATTCAAGTTGAAGGTGAAAAATAAAAGTGTTAAGTCACTCAGTTGTGTCTTGACTCTTTGCAACCCCACAGATTGTAGCCCGCCAGGCTCCTGTGTCCATGGGATTTCCCAAGAAAGAATACTGGAATGGGTAGCCATTCCCTGCATCAGGGGATCTTCCTGACTCAGGAATCAAACCTGGGTCTCCCACACTGCAGGCAGATTCTTTACCACTGAGCCACCAGGGAAGCCCTGATATGCAATCCACTGTGTCCCCATAGGTCTGGCAGGGGTGGGAGCAGAAGGACAGGCCAAGGAGGCTCAGGCGACCCTGCCCGGGGCTGGACCACCCACTCGAGGGGGCACAGGTGTCCTATTGGAAGAAGTGTCAAGCCCTCATTATGACCAATCCTTCATATTTATCACACATTCTGTCTTTAAGCAAAGTCAGCTGTTGCTGACTTTGAATGAATCAAGACATATCCTGAATTTTAAATATAAAAATACCTACAGGGAAGTGTAGTTATCACTGTGATGGTGAAGTATAGCTACATTTATGCCCAGCAGCCCCCATACCCTGAGATTAGGAAGCACTGCAAGTCTACTGCCGCAGCTGGGCCCACCCAGGGCTGAGAACCACACAGGAACCCATCTCTACCTGAGGGCGCAGTGGAAACCTCTGGGAGCTTTTCAAACACACAGATTCCTCGGACCCTCCCCTGAGAGTTCCTACTCAAAGTCTCTGAGAGCAGGCACAGGGATCTTGCTTTAAAAGCTCTCTAGATGATCCTGAGGTGCTGATCTGGGAATAATGCCTAGACTTCGGGGCTGCCAAGTTCTCAGGCTGCTTCAGAGCTCAAAGGCTTGATTATAGGGTCGGCTCAGGGTTTGCTCAGGTTTTTTTACTGGGGCAGCAGGAGATAAAAAGGGAAGTATGTGGAAGACAGTGGGACCAGGGCCCCCAAGCACCCTCTCTGTCTTTCCTGTTGAAGAGCTGGCCCAGCATATGAGCCCACTGAGCTTGCCGAGTACACAACAAGAACGTCACCACATAAAAACTGACTGAGGCAGGTCATTGCCAACACAGGAAACCAGCCATTCAGGTTGAGCATTTGTTAGTTAATGAGGCTGCCCAATGACGCTGAGGTCTTCTATATATATAAGCACATTCATACTTGGGCTTTCCTGGTGGTTCAGATGATGGCAAAGAATCTGCCTGCAATGCAGGAGACCCAATTCAATCCCTGGGTTGGGAGGATCCCCTGGAGAAGGGAATATCTGCCCACTTCAGTATTCTTGGCTGGAGAATTCCATGGAGAGACGAGCCTGGTGGGTTACAGTCTATGGGGTTGCAAAGAGTTGGACATGACTGAAGCGGCTTAGCATGCACACAGAGACAATTTTAGACTAGGATTTGGTGAAATCCTAGGATCTCTTGATCTGCAGCTTTTCATGTGTGCTGGTCTCATCTTTCTACTTTTTAGACCATGAGCCTGAGAACAGGGATTATTTAAAAAATCTCAACTCCACTCCCTGAGCCCTTAACCTGATGCCCCGAGCACAGTTGGGGCTCCATGAGCACAGCCTGAATTGTTTCATTAGCTTGGGATACCAAAAGGTGAGCTGAACTAACGAATTATAAAATGATGCTCATAAAATACAAAAGATGTAAATGGAGATGTATGAGGACCATCAGTATCATACAATCCTGAGTCATGTATAAAAGTACCATTACTTCTCATTCAGATGGGACCCCAATCGGATTCATTTCCATTGGCGGTTCTAGGGCTCAAGGGGTGGAGACATCAACTGAGTCTCCCTTCCTTCTCCTATATTCTCCCTCCTGCATTTCAGTTATTGGGGGTCTCTGAGTCGTGCATCCCCTGCTCTGTTTCAGGACCTTGGATTCTGAGCCGACCAGGCACGTGAGGCAGCTGGGACTGGCCTCCTCCTCCTGGTTTCCGGGGCGGATGCTCCTGACACCCCATCCTGCTCTCCCCAGGTACAGAGCAGCATGGGAGGGTCACAGCCCCCTCTTCCCTCTCCTTTTCAGAACAGGGAACAGTCATTTTCTTTCACTTTAATCATTTTCTCCCTTGAGAAACGAATTCAAACGTCTTTCACTTGCCAGCAGAGTGGGTGGGAGGTGGGTGGAAATCTTTCAAGATTCAATAACAGCTCAACACGGGGCTCAGCCGGAGGAGCAGGCGCTGTAACCCCTTCAGGGCCGACACTGCCTGATATTTTGCTGGAGGGGGACTCACTCCGGGTCTCTGGTCAGAACCACCCCTTATGGCCTTACATATGATGACGTGGATCCAATTCAAGAGAGACATGTGGCAAGAAAACCAAGATGAAACAGAAACAATGCAATTGACTCCTTTTACCTAAGATGATGAATTGTATGCTCGAGAGAGAGAGAAAAAGAAAACCCTTGGAAAGTCTGGGTGAGGAACTCCTTGGGACCAAGGTGCTCCATGAGTCCTCACTGGCTGGTGCTGGGCTGGGGCGGAAGCACCTGGGCACCCAAGCTGGCACCTCTAAGCACAGCCCAGCACCCTGTTTCCTCAGATCGTCAGAGTGCTAACATGTACCGCTGCCACCTGTTCTACCCGTTGGGTGGCTCCAGGCACACAGATTTGCCCTGGAGCAGCCCAGCCCTCTACCTGCCCCAGGATGCCTCCTCCCTGCCCCCTCCACCCCCAGCACCTGGGCGGAGCTTCCCAGGGATGAAGCCAGGGGAGCCCGCAGAAGCCAGGTCTACCTACCCAAGCTCTCCTCTCAGACGGTAAAGAATCTGCCTGCAATGCAGGAGACCTGGGTTCAATCCCTGGATTGGGAAGATGCCTTGGAGAAGAGAATGGCACCCCACTCCAGTATTCTTGCCTGGAGAATCCATGGACAGAGGAGCCTGGTGGCTACAGTTGACGGGATCACAAAGAGTCAGACATGACTGAGCGACTGAGCATGCACTCTCCTTCTAGACTTGATCTCCAAATCCCACTGGGGCAAAAAGAATGATCTGGAAGCCGTTGGTGAACTGAAGCTGGGAAAAGAAAGGGGCTCCTTTAAAATGGCTGA